TGTTTGACTACACGTCCTGCAGCCAAATGCAATTACACAGGCAGGTGGCATTTGTGTTTGCTGCATGCCAAAGAAGGTTTTTTATTGTATTAGGAACAGTCCTAAATTCATATGCATTCGTAAGGCAATTGTTTATTTGATCAGAAAAGCACGCAAAGCTAAAATTCAAGTGATCAACTGAAATTTCTTGATTGAAAAAATTAGCACACATACTAGTGACATGCAAAACTACAGATCTCATAATGAACTATTCGAGGGTTGCCTGAACGACTAAACTAATCTGTCTTAACTAGTAGCCATATATAATTAGATTGGGATGAGGTGATCAGACAGGTTTCTTAGGGGGCGTTTACATGAGATCAAAGTGGTTTTCAACAGAATAGAACACAATGCAAGCGATCTTTAAGTTGACACATCATCACTCAAGAAACAACGTAAAAAATAATTTATAGACTTTCCCATGTAAACTGACTACAGCTAAAGCACAGCATGCTAATTAATGTAATGCCAAAAAAAAAAAAAAACGCAAAAAATGATAGTTGACCATTGTGACCCATACATACCCTCAGTGTCACTGGTGAGGTGGTCCTCATTCATCCGCAAGGACTGTCCATCATCCATCCGCTCTCGAGACGCCTCCTTATAATCAATCAACAGACAGACAGATGCAAATCCAGCTTATGTAAGACATATATAAAAACATTCATCAGTAATCATTGCATCCAGCTGGCACAGCAATTAGATTACGTTAGCACTGATGCTACAGAAGCTGGTCAACATTACAAAAGCATCTCAGCCACACCTATGCTTAGAAACATAAAGAGCCCTAGAGACATTTGTGGTTGTCAAATATAATTTTGAAATTCAAACATTAATGAGCTATATTCCTCTCCCTTTCAAATGCATCGGCATTGTCGCCTGTCTACCAGTTCTACAAATGTCAAGCTGTTAAAACAGGTTTAAGTGGAATGCTTCAAAACCCTGTTGACAACAAAGGCGAAATCACGGTCATATCTCCCTGCGGTTAAACTGAACTCAAAAGGAGCAACAAAGTGGTTGTCGCAACAGGTGTCTACGGAGACTCGAGTCTGTTCCGCAATTGCCACGTACTCAAACAAGTGAACACACAAGTTGCGGTGGGACTCTAAAAGCAGCTGTTCTTGGCTGAAAGGGGAATGTACCCCTTGTTTAACCGATATCATGAACCTCTGTAAACCAATATCCATCGCTGACCCTGACCGCCCCTCTTCTCTTGTAACACAGTGGGTGTTCTGAAAGAGGAGCGCTTCAAGTGTGGGCCATTAATGGATAGTTGCCCTGATGCTTCGGCCTTGAAGCATGACCAATAGTGACAAACAGTGGGCCCCAGGTGCCGCCGAGGAACAATGTTACCTCTAATTTTTTTCGGCACTGAGCAAGTAAATATTTCTCCGAGCACAAACTTTAAAACTGAGCAACTTGAGCAAAAATCATTGGTGACGATATAGTCTACTCAAAGAGGGCATGTTAACTATGCTATAGTTTGATTGATGACTTAGTCCCTTCTATCAACTGTTTAACAGTAACTATGACAGTACAATATTTTTAACAAAACACATTTTATTAAACCACATTTTAATAAAACCATATACACAACAACATCATAGTGCTTCATCATCAGTCATTTCTTGACTGGCCCTGCAGGTCTGTGGAAGGCCTCTCTCAAAACAGCGTCTAAAAAACACAAAAGCACCACAATTAAAAAAAAAAAAATCTGCCTGTTTTATTTCAGCAATTATAGACATTGTTTAGGTATGCACTCCCCTGTTTGTGCTTATTTCTGCTTGTGTGTACTAATACACCAAAATAGTAATCTACCCTTTAAAAAAAGTGTAAAGCTTTAGTCAACTAATTAATATTTTATACATTATAATATTTAAGGATTATTAAAATTGTTATTCGAGTAAAGAGTAAAAATATTGTCCAAGTCAAACACATTGCACATAGTAACTGAATAAACTTTTACTATTTATGTATTTATTAATATTGTAGCCTACCTTAAAACCTCTCCCGTCTGTCCTTGTCCCCTTTCCAGTGGTTGTAGACCTTGTCCAAATTTATTGGGCCCTCTGCTTGTGCAGACCAGATTCTCATCAGCTGATCCAAGTGGGTGGTCTGAAGTCGGTTACTTGAATTTGTCTCGATACGATTCATCAGACTGAAACCGCGTTCACAGTCTGCACTAGACGCTTAGAATGTCCCGCAAATGTCAATCAGCTGTACAAGCTGAGTGAACTCCTCACTTTTTAATGTCCAGGTTACCATTTCAGCAAATGTCTGCAGCGCTCCCATTTTTCGTTTTGACAGTGAACTTGAAATCCTTGTACTGATTACAGATGCGTTCGGTGGCAGCCTCGTCTGTTTGTTTCAGAAAAGCGTGGAACTTCTCTGTCAGTCTGGTTACATAATCTATACCATGATCAAAATCAAGTGTTGAATCCAGTGTCTCTAGGCTAAAAGCAGACCATTCTTTGAGCTCACCTTCAGGAAATCGAGCATCAAGAAGCATACACACACTATGTGGACAAACAGGATAATGTCCGCTGTATTTATGGCACTGTCACATGTTTCCAACAGCTTGTTCACTCAGCTGCTCCAATAAACATGCTGTCCAAGATACTGAGAACGACATTTTTCTATTTTAGCTCTGGCAAAGCAATGAGCATCAATGATGGTAAGATTGCTTCGCTGCAAGGAGTTACAGAGCTGAGCGAGTTCTTCCAACACATCTCCAAGCACAGTAATGGATCGGACGGATCGGTCACTATTTTGAGACAGTATTTCGCAACCGGGTCGTCGTTGTCAGCTTCTTTTGTGCAGTATTCTGTTAACAGACTGTAATTCCACAAAAAACGAATTTACAGCTTGGTAACGAGACCGCCAGCTAACCTCATTCAGAGGTCTGAAAGACAGTGAATCCACTTCTAAAACGGTTGCCAACTCATCAAATTTGCTTTTCTTCACAGAAGACCTGCTAAATAGTGAATATACTGTCCTGAGAAGTGTTTCCACTTCCTTCATCAACGACACACCTTTCCAAGCATCATCAATTCCCAAACCTTCCCTATGAGCAACACAATGCTGTTCTGTAAGGTGCAGTATTTGCCGTCTCAGTATTGCAGTGACTCCATTATGTTTACCTAACATGACAGATGTACCATCAGACGTTAACATGACCATTTTCTGCAAATCAAGTCGGTGATCCATGTAGAACTTTATTATTGCATCCGCAATATGCTGGGCGCTGCATCCTGCCAGCTGAATGATCCCGGCAAAGTGACTTGATTTTGTTCCCTAAACTTAATGTAAAGAACCAGCATTTTATGCACTGTAATGTCTGTGCTTTCGTCGACTATCAGCGTGTGGACTTGGGCATTTCTCACACTTTCTAAAGTTTCAGCTTGTACAACTGCATTAATTGACTCCACAAATTCAAATGCATAGTTTTAACTTCTCCAGCTGTCGGGAAGGCTAACATATTTTGCCAGATGATTATGAATTTCTTGAACAGACAGCATTGACGCATTCATTGTGATTGCAAGAAGCACGTTATCGATCAATATTTTGATTTGTTCAGGGTTTGACTTGTTCCTGTTGGCAAAGTCAATACGTTTTTCTCCTCGAGAAGCTGGTTAATTGAAGTTCCATGCTTTCGATTATACGATACTTTCACAGCATCAGTGTGACATTTTTGTGTTAAGTGCCGTTTTAGTTAGTCAAGTTTCCACTCTGTCCATGTTTTCCCGGTGGAAAACTCTCCTTGGATTTTAGCTTCGGAGCAAATTTTGCACACAACGTCATTAGCTCCGTAGCTGAATATTTCAGACAATTTAACTGATTTACCAGGACCATCAGCTGAATCCGTTTGAACTATTTAATTTAACCATTCTTGTTTGAAAGTCAAACAAACCTTTTTCTTAAGATGTTGCTGAGGTAAAGTTTCTTCTTTTCGTTTTGCCAATGCTGCTTACTGAGTGCCTGCGCGCTGTGCAACTGAGGTGTGGAGTATGTGAGAGCGTGTTTGTGTGCACCAAGATGTCGACTCACCAGCCTTGTGTTGTTGTCCCTCTCACGGCCCATCAGGCCTTGTCCTCCACGTAACAGCTGCTGGGCATCATGAATGGCTTGTGTCACAACATCACCCTCTCCCAAGAAGCCTGAAGAACGAAAGGGCGAGAGAGAAAGGAAACTTTAGACAAGGTCAAGAGAGAGATACATTTATCGCTCTCCGTCTTGTGATGCACAAATAAAGCACTTGGCTCGATCTCAAGAATATGATCCCATCCCGGATGAGCCCCTAGTCTTGGGTCCAAAGGCTTAAGACAAACAGTCACGTCTGAGGTGCTGACACATTCTCAGGGGCTGGTTCAAAGGGGGAACAGGTTTTTCTGAACTGCCGACAACTGCCAGTAATACTTGGGATAGAAGTATGTTGGCAGTGGAAACCCCTACGATGGGCCCTTTCTAATAGGGTGCAGAGAGGTCTTTGAATGTGAACCTCAAGGACTTCCCTCTCAAACAATGTCATGAGTGCACAGCAGGAAAACCACAGTGGATATGTCTGACTCATAAACAAGTAAAGATATTCTGACACACCTGGCTGCACAACCAAGTTGTGGAACTTTTTGTGGAACTGTAATAAAGAAATTTACAGTCACAGTCTAAATCTACTGAACAGTTCTGCTGTTGAGAGGCAGTTGCAAGATCAGTTGTAACAAAACAATATTTCGACATGTCAAATCGGCTTAAGCATGGCTTCAACCTTCCAAGCAAAGCATGTTGGAGACTAGATTTGGCAGTGAGGTGTAGTGTCACCTACTCAGGCTGAGGGCAGATCGAGTAGGACTATGGGGTAGATCTCTGGCTCGGTACCCTGCTTGCAAGTGGGCCATTTCCAGTGCCTGAGGACTTGGGGTCTTGGGTTTAGCCGTGAGGTTGAGAGGTTGACTGGAATCCTGGAGCACAAAGTCATTGTGAGATTCACTAACAAATCAACAAATGAATACAACAAAGTGAAACATCTGAGATGACCTGCAAGAAATGGTACCTGGCGAAAGACTGTACCACTGGACCTTTTGACTGGAGTGGAGTGTGGATTGGGCAGCAACGGCAAGGGATATTCCACTAAAAACAAACATTAACAACATCAGAAAGTATGTTTAAAGAAACAGTACAACTTACTGAAATGTATCGTGTCTCATGTAATCGCTTAATCATTGTTTCAACCGCAAAAAGATGTCAATATAACAGCTTAAAGGGTTAGTTCACCCAAAAATGAAAATTCTGTCGCACCACACGGATGCGTTGTTTTCGTTCAAATCAAAGCACAAACAACGTAGAAAACACATCCGTGTGGTGCGGCTGACACAGAACAACATACGCTGTTTGCGTTCAGTGGATACTCTCCAAAATGGCGCTACGGGGTGACGCGGAGGAGACGAATTGTTGAATAAAGTCGTTTTTTTCTTTTTTCTTTTGCGCACAAAAAGTATTCTCGTAGCTTCGTAATATTACGGTTGAACCCCTGATGTCACATGGATTATTTTAACGATCTCCTTGCTACGTTTCTGGACATTGATCGTGGTAGTACCCTTGCGGTCTATGGGAGGGTCAGAGAGCTGTCAGATTCCATCAAAAATATCTTAATTTGTGTTCCGAAGATGAACGGAGGTCTTACGGGTTTGGAACGACATGAGGGTGAGTAATTAATGACAGAATTTTCATTTTTGCGTGAACTATCCCTTTAATGTCACGTAACGTTACATTTACCTCAGGAAAGACATTCAGTGACCTTAACTTGTTAATTAGCAGAAGAAAATAACTCTAGAGAGGAACATTTTAATAAATGCACTATTCCTTATATTTTTTATTTTTTATTTAACTTGTTAGTGATGTCTCATATTATTAGTACAGTATTTTTGAATAAATCTGTCTTAAAAAAAATAAGCTATGACAGCCACCATTTAAATGTTTATATTTCAAAAGTGAATTGGAAAAGAAACAATTATATAATTAAAATGTTGATGGGGAGCAAGTCATTCAACACTGGAGTCTTATATCTGGCCGTGGAGTTTGTTTTATGCCTGTTAATGAATGTATCGTTGACAGCAGAAAAATTGCGACTCAGCAATGAAGGCAACGCTTTTCGTAAGACTACATGAATTTCTTATATACAGTAGTGGCCAAAAATGATGTCCAGAGACTGGATATTTCTCAATATTTGCTTTTAATGACCCTACAAGATTAAAAAATGCATAGAAAAACAAAAGGCTCACAGGAAATAAAGCATACATGGAATACAAGAATATAATCAGTTATTAATATTTTGTTGGTTCTCCCTTGTTTTTGATCCAAGCACAACTTTGCAATATGCTTACAAAATCCCTAATAATAAAATGTTTGAATAATGGTGAAGATGTCCATTTTCCTAGGCTGAACATAACTTTTGGACACTACTCTAGCTAACGTCACCCTAATTTACAAATATGCGTAAATGGTCAGTGAACATGCTAGAGATCTGCTACCAAACCCAAGCCCAATGGGACCTGGTCAGCTATCAGGCTAGGTTCAGGTCAATCATGTCTAACTTTAAGGTAAAAACTTCTAAAAGTGTTTATCGCCAGAGAACATCTCTTATTAAGCTGAATAAAGTCTTTGAGCTCAGATTCACTTGCGTCCTTGGTCCTCTGCTCCAGGTTTCTTTACAAAGGCGGCTCAATTGTGTCAAGCACGCTGGTAGCCGACTAGCTCATACACTTGTTCTATTGTTCCCTGTTCTTTCCTTCTAGCCTTCATCTTCTAAGCTAAATGAGTACATGCATGCAGGCATCAAAGTTGTGCATTCACAAGAGTCTTTTAACTGAGTGAGGGCACAGTGCCATACATTACAGACGTCAATGCAAAGAACCCGCTCTGTATTTTACGTGATCAATATACACTCTAAATCAATGGCCAACCCTGAGCCATTCTTCAGGGTTTGTGCAAGGAATTCACTCGGGCGGTCGTTTCAATTAGTCTTTCTTTCTAAAGTTCGTTCTAAGTGGACCAAAGACATGAGCAAAACCATCAAATCATGCAATAACTACTTATATTACAGAACAGACCTTCAGACGAACATGCATTAAGAAAAGGAAAAAGTTATTTTGCAGTTAATACATTTCTAGAATAGCAAGTATTAACTCTTTCAATTCAGACTACTTATTAACTAAAAATACAAACCACAGCTGATAAGCTTGTGCTGAAAAGCGCAAGAGCAAACAAGTTTTTCAAATAACTGACAAAGGATATTATTTGAAGTCAATTATTTAGGGATTTTTGACAGATGCTATTTGATCCATCTGAAGATAACAGATGGCTGAATCCTGTGCCCTAACAGACTCTTATTGTAAAAGCTAACAATTGCTCAATATGCCAATAGGTAGGTCTTTCATGCATATATCAGAATGTGCAAACAATTCACTCCATTTGGCGATGGGAGGTGAGTTGAAGAAGCTATTGAGGGTTTGGTGAAGCTCACCTGGTTTGCAGGGAATGGGATGCCGAGGCAATCCCATCTGGGCCTCAGAGGTGACGGGCAACGGTTGGGCATTGGGATGAAAGGCAGGGATCATAACATAAGGCATGTTCACCTGCTGGGTCAAAGGTCACAGAAAACACCTTAAGTCACATTATATTGCATTTCACAGTCCAAATAGTCTTAAAGGAACAGTTCACCCAAAATGTAAGTTTTGAATCGTGACATTCAACCTCACCTGAATTTGCTGCTGCAGTAAGTTGATTTTATGTTGCTGCTGTATCAACTGCTGCTGCTGTTTGGCGATCTAAACAGAGAATCAGCATTTAGAAACCAAACTAATTCATGCATAGCCAAATAACACTGCTTTTTTTTTTTTGCACAGTTCCTCCTAAACTTTTTTTGCTCAATTTTTTTTTTGTCTCCACACCTGTTCTTGCTGCTGCCTTGCCAGTTCCATCTGTTGCTGCTGTTTCTCCAGCAGCAGAGCGGCCATGTTCCTCTGCTCAGAATGAGCTCCTAGCAGCTGCTCTCGCAGACCAGAGAGCTGGTTTATCATCAACAACAACTGAAGCTCCTTCTCTGCCAGACTCTCTGGGGTTCCTGTAAACACATATACGCACATGCTGGTGGTCAGGCGGAAGATGTCAGTGAAACACAAATGTGAGATGAACCACAATGGAATCACAATGGAAACACCAATCACGCACAGAAACAATACTATATGGTTGCTCCATTTGATGATTTGCATGACAAAGTGCATCTATGTGCAGTATATAAACACATAAATTCACCTTTCAGGTTGACACTGCCCTGAAGACCCTTCCCGAAGAACTTTTCTTTCCAGTCCGTATTCAGAAGCTTTTCAATAGTGGGCATCACTAAAAAAAAATTTTTCAACAAACAATGCAAAAATAACTTAATTATTCAATTATTTACATTTTTTTATTTAAAACCGCTGGACAAAAGATGTCTGTAAAAGAAAAATACACTACATTTTTTTAAAATATATATTTATTATATTTGTTTTATATATATATATATATATATATATATATTAGTGGGCATAAAAAAAAATTTTTCAACAAACAATGCAAAAATAACTTAATTATTCAATTATTTACATTTTTTTATTTAAAACCGCTGGACAAAAGATGTCTGTAAAAGAAAAATACACTACATTTTTTTAAAATATATATATATTTAGGTTTTACTTTATTTATTAACATTAGATTTTTAATAATAAAACTTGGATTAAAAAGTCATTGAATGTAATTTTAATTAATAATTAAGTAAAATAAAGCTGTTCCGTTTTATAGATTGAAAAATTATATTTTTATTCTATTTAGTATTTTTCTTTATTTTACTGAATATTTATTCTTATTAGAGTTTTAATAATCTAATTTAGATTAAAATTAAATTGATTGTAAATTGAATACAGTTGTTCAATTTTTGTAGATATTGAAAACTTTTTTTAAGTTACAAAATATGTACATCCTAGGTTATTTTAAGATTTGTTCAGCTTTGTAAGGATTTCACCTTTTTGTTATTCTATAGTTTGCATATCAAAGCTCGAATGAAAAAAACGACAAGCCAAAACAGTCTGGCTTGTCAGCACTGCCGAGTCATTGCTATTGGTGAAAGTATTTCTCGAGTCACATTTGCTTTGGAACACACAAACAGCTGTGTCATCACAATGCAATGCAGCTGTCGCCATGGCAGCAACATATTTCTGTCCCTCAGCAGTTAGAGAAGACTCATTACAGTCAGGTCAGACCAATTCATCCGGTCCAGCCGTTTGCACTCCTCTGCTCACCTACTGTTCATTTTATTATCGGTATCAGGAGTGTTACAATTCATTTCCCCAATGGCGGCTGGTATTAAATTCCCTGTCACACTCGGGAGGTCAGCGCTTTAGAGGAGCCATGCTAATGAGCGCGAGGGAGACGGGAGCTGGCCATGGCAGATTAAGACAACGTGACAACATGCTAAGCTTCTAATAAGAAAGATATTCTTCAGGGGAATTACCGGCTGGTCTTAGACGTCCACAATAGAGGTTAAGGCCAAGAGATAGTGGGGATTTTAATAAATTCCAAAATTCATTTCCGTGCTTTTCAGACCTTTTGGTTTGGAAAATTTGGGACGTTTAGAGAAAATTCATATATTCATAAGCTCTTGAGATTAATACAAAGAAAGAAGAACAGGACTCGACAGTAAGGATGGTGGGATGGTGCAGGGTGTCCAGTGTGACACAATCTGACGCTTCCCCCATCTTACACACATACATGTGTTCTGATGCCTTACAACGTAACCATTTTTACTTGTTGTGTATTGAACATTTTTGTAATGAATAATGCTTATGCATTTATTGTCACAGTAACATCGTCCAACAGGATAACGTTTAGTTGAAATCCTCTTGAAAGAACCAAACAAGTCAGTATCGTTTTGAAATGTTTACACTGATGTGCCAGAATTCTGAATGAAATTATTTTACAGTTAATTATGAAGTATATTTAATTATAATTAAGTATAATCAAAATTTTATTGCAATAATTATTGTAAATGTTTTACTTTTTTGCATTCATATTTTTTCTTTTTTTGTTTTCTTCTTTCATGATATATATATATATATATATATTAATTTAATA